ACCTTGCTTTTGAAAGTTTAAAAATGGAAGAAAAAATCGCAACTGAACAGTTTACTTTTAAGGAAATAATTGACCTCAGTATTTATATATATAAATGTAATTAACCTCCGTTAACGTCGGACAGTTTAGACTTGGGTCGTCCCTTTCCGCGTGATTTCGGCGTCAGATCGTCGTCCGTTTCCTCCCAGTCTCGCTTCTTTCCTGGTTTGACGGTCAGCGGACTGTCGCGTGGACTTCCCTTCCGTGACGAGGCTCGACTTGAGTTTGGCGTACTCTTAGTCTGGGATTTCTTCTTACCAGCTTTAGCTTCAAAGGAAAAACAAGATTTTACTACATTTTCTAAACTTTCTTGGCACACTTTTAACTGTTTTTCATAAAACTGCCAATACTTTACATGATTTCAATTAACAAAACAAAAAAATTAAAATTATTCAGCTTATATTTCACTTTTCCACACATAAGAAATATATTCCCTGGTATTTCAATGAAACTTCCTCAACATAAAAAACAACCCTATGATTTACAAGATTCTCACATAGAACAAAACTGAACAGAAGTGTCCTTCAAAGATAAAGAAAACTGAAACTAAATAAAAAATTTCAGCTAAACTTTGGGCAGTTTATTTCCCGTTTTTTTTTTTTGTATTATTACCTTTGGGCAGTTTTATTTTCCCTGTGGTGGTGATCCCCGTACATAGTTGACACTGCCACTTGCCACGGGGGACCTTTTTAAGTGGGGGGATGGCACAGTCCAGGTGGTAGACGAGGGGACAGGAGTCACAGCAGACCAGTGTTCCCCCCGTACTACACACGGCACAAACATTGTCAGTCTCCTCCTCTTCTTCATCTGACTGCTCCAACATCTCCTCATCACTGGAAATTGAAAGTAAACATAGAGATCAAGATAACTAACACAGAGCTCAGGATAACTGACAGAGCTCAGGATAACTGACAGAGCTCAGGATAACTGACAGAGCTCAGGATAACTGACGTAGAGCTCAGGATAACTAACAACCAGTGCTACTGACCAACAGCATGTGACATGTCACAAAGTAATGAGATAAGAAATGAGGAAATACAGGATAGTTACTGTATACAGGTTATCTACGCCCTTTTATACTACCAAACAATTTTGCTTGGTTTTAAGGGGATGAAGGATATATGGTCACGTGACTCAGTTGATTTACGTCATAATCTCTGATAAAATTATGAAACCTATATTGTATAATTTTTTTGACTGTTTGTTTTACCATCTAGTATAAAAATATGTGAAAACATTCAAAATTTCTTGCAAATATTATCAAATTACGGAATAGATTAATCTCTGCCGTTTATACACTGCACGTCCAGTGCGTCTTTATCGTCATAGTGGATCTCTTACAGTAAGATCATACACGGTAAAAACAGGTTAGTATAAAATCATAAAAACAGGCCATAATATGTACATGGTAGGGTATTTTGTAAATTTCAGAACGCAAAAAATATTTTTACATGGTTGTTGACGGAAAAGTTCTGTGGGAAATTTGTCTTATTTCACTTATTTCAGGAATGTGTGACGTCATAGTTGGGTTTTCCCGTACTCGAGAAATGTAAACATGACAGGTTTTTCTCATGATCATGACTCGTTTAACTTTGCCCCGTGCAATATTGAGCTCAGCTTCACCAATTGATATTTTTACAGTTAATCAATACAATGACGACCTTGAACTTTGACGTAAATTTTCAAATATTGAATGATAGGATTTTTTGCAAATTAATTTTTTTATGGTTTAAGTTGAAAAAATCGTAAATTTCTGTCTCCAGATGTGGTGTTACAAAAGAATCTTGCTTTTATGAATTTTTAACCCTTCATGTTAAAATATTTTAAAAGACACATTTCCGCTGGTATATTTTTTATCTATGGTGAAAAATTTCAAATAAGTTAAATATAAATATAAAAATGAAATAGACACTGTGGGGTATGGTATTTGTCACTCAATATCTCACTTGAATAAACCTATGATTTCTGCTTTATTATGTAGGACATACATAAGATATATACAAAATATGAAAAAAATTAAATGACAGGTAATAAATTATTCGCCCAGTCATAATTTTGCAGAAAGAAATAATTTGTTTACATTCGCTCATGAGGGTGCAAAAAAAGATTTTATAAGCAAAAATGTAAACAGTATTCAGTTTATCAGAATATTCTTACATTAGTTGTTTACTTATTATATTATATAAAAGACTAACACCATTAAAAACCTACAGAGACATCTAGAGAACTAGTTAAAAATTGTTGTTACCCTGACAGAGACATCAGTGGTTACTATGGGACTGTTTATCTGTTACTATGGTAACTCACCTGTCCTCCTCCTCATCCTCCTCAATGTCCTCTTCGTCCTCGGACTCGTTCTCGGTAAACGTCCTCCTTCTCTGTTTTAGCGGGCTTCTCTTGGTCTCCTTAGGCTTACAATCTGGACAAAACCAGTCACCCTTAGGAACATGCTGAAAACAAAGAATCGAGTCAAATCAATCAAGTCAAGTTTCAAGTTTTTGAAACAAAATATTGTCTTGTATAAAGACAAGGTAAATCCAAGAACCTGAATCAATGTATTGCCTTGCATAAGGTCAAGGACAATGTAAGAAATGAAAACTCGAGTATTTTGTAGTAAGAGTTATTACACAACTGAAAACCAAGTATTTTATCAAAAAATGTATATCCAAAGCCTAAGATAGTGTAAACATTATTTTAAAACTGTCCCAAACCCCTCATCTTAGCATAATAGATCTGTTTAACACACCTTCAGCCTGGGTTTCAGACAGTACATATGATGACCCCGGTCACACTTATCACACAGCAGCATCTGTTCGGCGTCGCCTTTCCGTCGACAAATTCTACAGCGGGCGTGAAGCGCGGACTTCTGCCAGATGATGCTCTTCTCGAGCGTGGAGAGGTGGAGGAAGACCTGAGCCAGACTGGAACAGAAGAGGACCGAGTCCTCCCAGCGCTCCATGGTCGACTTCTCCATAACGGGCTCCTCCTGTTTACTGTCCTCATCTGGAAATAGTTAAAATTGTCAGATCTTTGAACAAGTTGTGTTTGTGAAAGACTATGCCCCGATAGTAACAAATTGTTGGAGTGGGACGTACATGTACACAGAAGTGGTATACATTTACCCTTGACAGCGCAATTGTTATGGACTAGGTTAAATTGACATAGACGGACAGGACAATCGATCCAGGGGTCATAAATTGTCAAAAGATAACTTGGTTTTCATTAAAATTTGGGAAAAGCATTCATAATTATCCACGTAGGAGAAAAAAACATGACATGTAATTCCTAGTATTAATTCTACGGAAATGCACAATATCTAGTATTTTTTTTTACAGTCTGTCCACCTTTAACTGTCTCTGTGTTTGTTCTTACCGTCAGAGCCCCCGTCCTCCGATTTTTTAGCGTCCTTCTTCTTCACACCAGCCTTTGATTTAACATCTGTGACTCCTGAAATTTTCAACGTTTGATTTGTTTTAAATTGGTCTTTTAAATGTTTTTATTTGACTCTAATTGAAAAGTTAACATTAAAATCACATCTAGCAATTTAAGCAATGAGAAATATTCACAATCAAACGTTTTTGAAAGAGATTTTTGTTAAATAGTTACAACTAGCATTTTAAGCAATGAGAAATGGATTTTTGTTAAATAGTTACAACTAGCATTTTAAGCAATGAGAATTGTTCACAATTAAACATTTCTGAATGAGATGTCCGGTTTTTTGTTGACTACCTAGTGGGGGTCCCATGTATTTGTGTTCTACACCCATAGCAATCTGTAGGAGGGCCTTTGAGAGATCCTTGACCACTGACTCCCGAGTTTCCTCATCGGAGATCGATTTATCATCATCATCACTGAAATCAAAAATTATCAGATCATGACAAACAATTCATCCATCATGTAGAAGTTTTCACAAATAATTATTTGCATATACATGTGTTAAGAAAAATGAAAAATATTGTCAAAATCATTTCATTTCCAATGTTGATATGAGCAGGAACATTGTGTTCCTTTTAAAAAGCAGATAAAAATTACATGTTCCTGAAATATATCAAAGGCTATTGCCCTTGACATGTGATACATCAATTTAAAACAAGTAAGTCTGTGCCAAAAATAACTGTAAAGCAATACCCTTCATTGAAGCTGATGTCATGTTTCTGAAACACAGGATCTTCAGTTTGTGGATCATAACTCCCCTTCTCTATCGCACTTCTCCAGGCCAGTCGGTCATTTACCTATAAAAGACATACGTGTAAAAGAATTCTTGTTATAAATAAATAATGGTTTCTTTCCTTCACATAATATTGTACAGACAACAACAAAACTTCACCCAGACCCACCTTTATTTCCCCCAGACCTACCATTTTTTTACCCAGACCTACCATTTTTTTACCCAGACCCATCTTTATTTTGCCCAGACCCACCTTTATTTTCCCCAGACCCACCTTTATTTTTTCCAGACCCGCCTTTATTTTTCCCAATACCCACCTTTATTTTTCCCAGACCCACCTTTATTTTGCCCAGACCCACCTTTATTTTTCCCAGACCCACCTTTATTTTCCCCAGACCCACCTATATTTTTTCCAGACCCACCTTTATTTTCCCCAGACCCACCTTTATTTTCCCCAGACCCACCTTTATTTTCCCCAGACTTCCGACATGGATCCTCTCCTCTAAGTCGAGCAGCAGCTCCCGTAGGTTAATCTCCAGCATCTCCTGAGCACTGTTATTTTTAATCAAACCCTTGGACATCCTCTTTGGTCCCGTCCTTGTCGATTTAAATGTTAACTCCGAGGGCGATTCTGAGCGCAACTCCTCCCTGGCAAGGCTAGCAGTGACAGACTGATAGAGAATGTCCGAGGGGCATTCCTCTATATTTTCAACAATCACATTCTTCCGCTCTAACAAAGCTGTCTTCAAAGCACTTTCTCTGAATCCTCTCTCATTGAGAGAGTTAAGTAAGTCATGAAATTGTTCAATATTTGTTAAGAACATCCAAGTGTTTTTCTTGCGTGTTTTAATTTGCGTCACTGCCTCATTTTCCTCTGTGTCTTCTTTCACAGAGGCCGACTTGGAGTTTTCATCGTCACTTATTGTAATGGCGTCATCGTCGTTCTTCTTGTCGCGAGTATTTTGAGGTAAATCACTTGGATCAGCTGTGTCGTTAGGATTTCCGGTTGAGAGGTTTTGACTGGTGTTAATACTATTATTAGCGGTGGACGTATTCATGGACTCGTTCTCCTTATCACTCCCGTTACTGTGTTCCTCCGATTTTTCAGACTTGGGCATCTGTGCGGGTTTCACAACAGGTAATGTGACTTTCTGTGGAGCAATCTCCCAGCCTCTGTCGTCTACCAATTCCTCCTGATCCTCGACAAAGAGCCCGGGTACGGACTGGAAGACCCAGTACCGCCTGAACATCCGGTCCCTTCCCAGGGGAGCCAGGGTACAGGAGTGCTGGAGACGGAGGACCCTGTCAATCATCTGTCTCTCCTGGAGGGCAAACTCTGCCTTCTTGTTGGCATCCTCCTCCTCCTCTCTCTGTCTCTGGGCTTCCTTCTCTTCCTCTGCCATGGCAACATCATCATCATCTTCATCCTCTTCTTCCATGATCTTCACATCATCGTCAACTGTCTCCCTACAAAACAATGAATGATCAATATATCTCATTTATCCCGTCTCTACTTAGTCATTCCTCTCAATACATACATCTACAATATTTCAGAATTATATAAGTAACTGCTACACCACCTTTCCATTAGTAGAGCTTCCGCTCCTCTTCCCCTTGTAGACCTACCCCAAACCCAATTTCTTCCTCATAGCAGTCTATCCCTGCCTCTTTCTACTACAGACCTACCCCACCCAACCCTAGTTAAAATAAGATTTATTAATACCAATTTGGGACCCATCAGGGCATACAAGTAAACAGAAATACATACAAAAAGAAATTCCAACTAGAGACCTACCCTGCCTCACCTCCCCCCAGTAGACCTACTCCACACACCCCTCCCTTTAGACCTTCCCTGCCTCACCTCCCACAACACACACCCTCTCCCAGTACCCTGACCTACCCAAACACACACCTCACTCAACCAATAGTCCTACCCCACACATCCCCTCCCTTTAGACCTACCCTGCCTCACTCCACCCCCTCGCAGTAGACCTACCCCACACACCCCCTCCCTTTACACCTACCCTGCCTCACTCCAACCAGTTGACCTACCCCACACACCCCCTCCCTTTAGACCTACACCCCCTCCCTTTAGACCTACCCTGAATCACTCAACCCCCCCAACCTACCCCACACACCCCTCCCTTTAGACCTACCCTGCCTCACTCCAATCAGTTCTACCCCACACACCCCTCTCATTAGACCTACCCTGCCTCACTTACCCCACACACCCCCTCCCTTTAGACCTACCCTGCCTCACCCCCCAGTAGACCTACCCCACACATCCCCTGACCTACCCTACCTCACCCCCCCCTCCCCCCCAGTAGACCTACCCCACACACCCCTCCCTTTAGACCTACCCTGCCTCACTCCAGCGAGTAGACCTACCCCACACACCCCTCCCTTAAGACCTACCCTGCCTCACTCAAACCCCCCAGTAGACCTACCCAACACACCCCTCCCTTAAGACCTACCCTGCCTCACTCCAACCAATAGACCTACCCCACACACCCCTCCCTTAAGACCTACCCTGCCTCACTCCAACCAATAGTCCTACCCCACACACCCCTCCCTTAAAACCAACCCTGCCTCACTCCAACCAAAAGACCTACCCCACACACCCCTCCCTTAAAACCAACCCTGCCTCACTCCAACCAATAGACCTACCCCACACACCCATCCCTTAAAACCAACCCTGCCTCACTCCAACCAGTAGACCTTCCCCACACACACCCTCCCTTTAGACGTACCCTGCCTCACCTCCCCCCAGAAGACCTACCCCACACACCCCTTTCTTAAGACCTACCCTGCCTCACCTCCCCCTCCCCCCAGTAGACCTATCCCACACACACCCTCCCTTTAGACGTACCCTGCCTCACCTCCCCCCAACAGTAGACCTACCCAGAGCTGCCAACATTCTGAAATGATAAATAGTAAGGCAGGGTCTAGGGACAACTTAGGCCCCCTGCCGCTGAAGATGTTTTGTAAATGGACATGTAATCTGAGGTATGATTCCATTTTGTTTACTTTAAAACATTGACATGAATGTGATCGGCCTTCTAAAACCGAAACAATGATACAAGCTAGCGTTGTAAGAATTATGAATATATTATAATAGTAGAAACTATAGACTGTCAGCTATGAAAATACCGGTATTATATACTTTGAAGGAGAAAAACTGAAATCCGTAAGGCGTATTTTACACCTACGCCTTACGCCAAAATCGTAAGGGTTGGCAGCTCTGCCTACCCCACATACCCCTTTCTTAAGACCTCCCCTGCCTCACCTCCCCCCAGTAGACCTACCCCACACACCCTCTCCCTTTCGACCTACCCTGCATCCCCCCCCCCCAAGTAGACCTACCCCACACACCCCTCCCTTTAGACCTACCCTGCCTCACTCCAGCCAGTAGACCTGCCCCACACACCCCCTTACACCTACCCTGCCTCTTCCCTTTATTACACCTACCCTGCCTCTTCCCTTTTCATCCTCTCCTCCAGCTCCCTCAGATGTTTCTGTCTTCTCTGCTCTGCTTTTTCTCTCTCCCTTTGTTTCTCTTCCAATCTTTTTTTGTACCTAAAGAGAATGACCACAGAAAATGTCATAGATATCTAACAAAACGCAACCATTCCAGAGAGAAAAACCATACAGACTAACATAGAGAACTGACAAAATAGAGCCTTTCTGATAAAAAATGAATACAAAAAACTGTCATAGAAAACTCAGAAATTATACACATTCTTTAAGATATAAAAGCAGAGCATCTGATTGATTTACCTCATGGCTAGCTCCTCCTTCTCTCTCCTTTGCTCCGCCCACTGTAGATGTCGTAGGTCATACTTGAGCTGTCTCAGCTTGTCATAATTATCCTCAATTGTGTCCCTAGTGGCAGCGTATGTCAAAAACTGCTGGACCAACAGATTCAGGATTTTCAGCTTATCACCTGTAATATACCACATTATCCATGGTTATCATTTCATGTACCACTAAGAGACTTCTCCTTAACACTTTTTTGGCTGTTGCCAATTTTCTGCCTTCTCTCATCAGCTTTTTTCAGTCATAAATATGTGATTAGTCTTAACAATACTAAAACAGACTATAATTTAAGTCAGCATTCATGTACTTTTCATGTCATGTAATGAACAATCCATCAACTTCACTTCCAGTCAACTTTTAGTACCCACATTTATGACATTGCTAATATTGGATGCATTTGCTCTTGTGTAAAAATATTCAACCTATACAATACACTTCTTCACTATAGCCCTGACATATTCATCTTGAAAAATACACATTTCTGACTTCTCTAATGTACTAAGAAATTGACTACACTTGTAAAAATCGAACACACTCTCTGTTGATAGAAGTTTCATCAGCTTGTACAAAGAAATGACTACAGTTTATTTTACTCCCTTACTTGGTTGTAAGTCGAACACACTCTCTGTGGCCAGAAGTTTCATCAGCGTGGGCTCTTGTTTCCTGAACTGCAGCCCCGGGTCGTCCAGTGAAGTGTATCCCCCTCGCTGCTGGTAGCGGTACTTGACGTTTTTATCGCTGACTTTGGCTCCCGAGGCCAGGATGTGGAGTCGGACGATCTCAGACAAGGTGAAGGAGTCAAGAGGCAGCTTCCTCAACAGTGTCCCTGTAAAACAATGTACAATGTCACACTACGCATTCAATCAATTTTTCCTAAAACTGCCATAAGGCATTTAAATTTCATGACTTTTCTCAGATTTTCCAAGACCTTAATTTTTCAGTGCAAAAATACAATCATAAATTTTCCGATTTAAAACATTTGTACTTGAACTTTTGTCCCTTTAACTACCCTTACTGCTCTCAATCACCTAGAGTTGTGGTATCTGGACAGCTTCATTAATATTTATGTCTATGATACAAGGCAAACTGTTCTGTCACTTTTTTTAACTTAGTTGTGGAATAACATTTTTGCTTGGAGTTGGGATCTGGGCACCAAGTCAAATACCACAAGTTGAAGAAGCTTAACAGTCAGACACTTACCATGTGTTAGTTGTGGGATCTGGGCACACATTGTAGCTGTGTCCATCATATTCTCCATATCCATTGTGTCATCCATATCCTCCATCCCTGTCACTGTGAATTCAAATATTATATTTAACAATGTCTGATAAAAGCTATAGAGGAGAATAATATTCTGTGGTCCTTCACTTGCGCTCTAAAACCTTTAACGATTTTAGGTCCATTGCTTCTACATGTACTTTGATAGGCTTTACTCTTCTCATTAATTTCATTTTTTTTAAAAACATGAATAAGTCCTTCTATGCCACTATTTTACTAAGGATAGCTTAATTAACCTTGTCCTGATTATCCCGTACTCAGGGGTCTAGAATTACGCTTTCCCGTTGCCCGGGGAAAGTAAAAATTCGTACAGGAAAGTATGATCGCGGGTCTACTCACCCGCTCGGGAAAGTAAAAATAAATGACAGTAGACACTTATGTTGTTGAAAGTTGTTCTTTTCACAAGTTTTGATTGAAAATTGATTTGAATTTACTTAGCTAGTGAGTTGTGTGAAGCGGTATGAAGGGTTTCCCTTCAAATAAATGTACATTATCACTACCGGAAATACTTGTTTGCTGTATAAATGAAAAACCGAAAAGTACACTTTGTCAGGATTGATACGAACGTGATTTGAGGGCTATAACTCTTGAAAATTAAATGATTAAGGGTAGAATTAACGAAATAAATGTTATAATCCATTAGACAATAATTTTTACTTTGAAAATACAATTCAATATAGCATACAGTGTATTAATAATAATGATATAATATATCAAAAATACAATGCAATATACCATATTTATATTTGTTTTATATCAGAGACATAAATAGCATAAGTATTTTAATTGGAGGAAAATATTCACATATTTGAACCATGGGGGATATGTTAGCCTGTAAATGCCAGGATATATAAACATAATGTCAATAAAATCTTAAAACTTTATTGATTCATGTTTTTCTTTGGCAAGTGAATTTTTTAGGCGGGCAAGTGAAATTTATTGTATCACTTGCCCTTGGGCAAGTGGGTTATAAAAAAAATTCTAGACCCCTGCCGTACTTTACCTTGATTAGCCTTGACCTGATTTTCCTGTACTTTACCGTGATTAGTTTTATCCTGATTTTCCCGTATTTTATCGTGATTAACCTTGACCTGATTTTCCCATACTTTACCTTAATTAGCCTTGTCAGGATTTTCCTGTACTTTACCGTGATTAGCCTTGTCAGGATTTTCCAGTACTTTACCTTAATTAGCCTTTTCCTGATTTTCCCGTACTTTACCTTGTCCTGATTTTCCCTGTAGTTTACCTTGATTAGCCTTGTCCTGATTTTCCCGTATTTTACCTTGTCCTGATTTTCAAGTATTTTACCTTGATTAGCCTTGTCCTGATTTTTCCTGTACTTTACCTTGATTAGCCTTGTCCTAATTTTACCGTACTTTACCTTAATTAGCCTTGTCCTGATTTTTCCCGTACTTTACCTTGATTAGCCTTGTCTTCCTTAGAGAGCTCCTCCTCCTCAGCTTCCTCCTCTTCCTGTAAAGTAAAGATGGCCGACATCATCATCAGAAGAATGTCCGTCAGGACGCCATTGTGATCTGTCTCCAGTAACGCTCTCTCCAGAATCTCTATAAATAGGAATACAAAAGAAATACAGTTCTCTCAAGAATCATATTTAAATTACAATACAAGACTTAAGCTTTTCTAGTAAAAATTTTTTTTCATAGTCCTTATTTAATTTTCACCATGGTCAATATTGATTTTTATTCTGGCATTATCAATTCATATTCACTCTCATAACTGTTCATAATTGTATAATAAACATTCAGAAGGGATTATACATATTACATGTAAATTTAAAGTGTATTAAACGAAAAAAAAAAAAAGTTATTTGTACCATATGTGAATCCTTTAGGGAAGTATTCCCTTAGATCAAACAGAGAGGTGAAGCAGTTGATAAACTCTAGAACCATCAGAGCGTCTCCAAAAGAACCACTCTGTATGTGGGTCTGGACCACCTTCAGCTCCGGCAGGGGCTAAAATAAACAAGAAATATTATTATCAAAAAGAAACACAAGCACCATCAACATTCAACCAAATCTCTATTCCTCACTATATTAAAGAAGTCCACGTTTACACTATTCAACAGAAGTGTGAAGGGTATTTAAGGGGGTGTAATTTGTTCTGACCTTGAGATCGTCACACTCGAGATCGTCACGTTGGCGACTCCACTCCTTGTATATCTCGGCCTGGATCCTCCTCTCTTCCATCAACTTGGCCTTCTCCTGTAAATTACCAGTATAATGATTACATTGAGACAAACTAACCTAAGGTGATTTAATAAGGACTTCATTCGCCTGTAAAAAGTCATTACATTGTTAAAATTAAGGAAAATTAACCTAGGGTGGTTTAAAAAAAACTTCATTCATTTAAGATGATTTCATGAATCAAATTAGATTTCATAGGGATTAAAGTTAAGATTTTAAATATAAGAATTTTAATTTTTATGAAATTTGACTAATTGGGTGTCAAATTTCTGCATAAAATGTATAATACTAACTTCACATCAAAGCCACATTTTCTCGTCAATGAACAGACCTGCAAACATACCCCGACTGCCTTGACTAATGTGATAAGAATTTACCAGAGCCTTTTCCTCCCTCTTCTTCTGCATCTCTTCCTGACGTTTCTTTTTGATCTCCTCTTTCAGTGCCATTTTCTCGGCCAGTTTCTGCTGTTTGAATTGCTCTTTGATGGCCGCCTTTTCCTCATTTGTCAGTCTGGGCATCTCTGGCTCTTCTGGTTGTTCAACTAGAATGTAAATAACATTTACATTAAAAAGGTCTGCAAAAGTGAAATGATCTTTCTGGATAAGTGATCAATATGCTCAGAATGTCAGAGTGAGGTCTATTCCTGAATGATAATAACCCAAACTAGTGCTAATTGTAACGGGGACCGTTACAGATGTTCCCCAAACGCTCCCCAATTCCCTTTTTGTGCCTAATTCCTGTAAGACATTTTTAAAAATATTATCAGTATCGAAGGATTTCATCAAAGAATTATAAAAGGTATATGATATCAACTATATGTCATTTAACGCATTGTACGCGCATGAACGTACATGTACATGCAAGATGATCACAGCATGTTGTCCAAACAATTACCGTAATTTCGGGATTATAGGTCGATGGGGTATATAGGTCGAAAGGCTCATTTTCAGCCTTAATTTTTGAAAAATCCTAAGATAGGTCGAACTTACTATATAGGACGAGGCTTTGTTTCCCGTTTTCTAAAGATTCTTACGCAGATACAACGTATGAGAACAGGTAAACCCCTAAAATTACCGGGATTATTCTGTGACATGAACGTATTAAGAAAATAAACAGGTATTTTAATGAGTACAGCATTTAAATAAAGTTTTTAAACAAATGTAGTTAAAACTTCTTTGAATTGTGTTACTACTTATTTTTCTCCAACTTGCCTGTTCAATGCCTCCGTAGCTTCACACTGTTGTTAAATCAGAGGCATAAATAACACGTAAATACGTCACTATTTTACAGCTATAATTCGGGAAATACAAGAAACCAAAGAATAGTAATTCCGATTTCAGAACAACTTGGACACGTTCCTAATAAATTTTATTCACACATTATTTACCGGTGGACGACAGTTACTTCAATGTCCGCCATTTTTATTTTTCTTCTCCAGGGATTTGCTAAAACACGCAAATGACCATTGAATGTATATATCCAGCAACAGTAAAGAATTGAAATCATATTAACACTCAATTAGTTTAATTTATAAATTTAATTGAGAGTACATTCACCATTTGACTGTCAAAATGAATTTCACGGCTTTGTTTGTTCAATGATGTGTAACACTAATACCCTATAACGGCACGTGGGTTTGTTAATCATGCCCCGCAGGCATTTATAAACCAACACAGGTGTTTACACCTTTGCGTACACAGTGTAAATCCTTTATCTGTCAGACAATTAAAATTCAGTTAGAAGCCAATCTTTGTATACCGGTATTTCAATGTACTTCTTGTGTACGAAGAAGCTTTTAATAAACCTTATAATATTAGTTAAACTTATATTACTGTCTTAATTTATATTTCTGTCGCCCGTATTTATTACCAATTCTTTGCTTGTAAATATCAATAAAATTATTTTTTGTCATCCGCATATAAATGGTAAAATCACTACAGTTATGATCGTGAAAACTTTTCGTATTTTAAATTTTCATACGGTTGCGGTTTTACTTTTAGTACACGATCGCGACTTCCTAACTTCAAAAGATGGATACCGCATGATGCTAATGGATAATACGTTGAGGAATTATTTAATAGATGAAGCAATGTTGTTTTCCTTTGTCATCAACGGATAATTAATGAATTTATTTTGTAAGAAAGCTATAGAATAAATATGTAATTGTTTACCGGGGCATCAATTTTTTGCGAAAAATAATGAAAAAAGTCACAAAAGTGGCACAAATTTGCTTTGAAATTGACGTAAATTTTACTTATTTGGGGGCATTTTTCGTTATCTTGAGCCTTAAATAGGTCGAATTTTGAATATTGGTCGACCCCAGCGGTTCTGAGAAAAAAAGTATCGACCTATATTCCGTAAATTACGGTAACATATCTATATATCATGAGAATAAATAAAAAAAAATTCTTTACAATTTATTTAAATATTGGCCATTTTGCGTATTTCGCGCGTGCACGTGCATAAATGAATGTTCGTGCATTCAAGTTTGATAGTACCATTATGTAGGAATCCATTATACCTATTTATATTCTAAATTTTATCCGGTTTGGTTGAAAACTAAGAAAGTTATAGACATCTAAATTTTCAGCCAATCAGATTACAGCACACGTACATGCGCATGCTTTTCATGAAAATTCTTATTTACCTTGCTGTAGATCTTTATAATGTATAACCATGTTCAGAATTTCAAAGAATTTTGTCGAAAAACAAGAAAGATATTGAGACTTTAGTTTCAGCCAATCAGAGGAAAGCGCACGTGCATGCGCGTGAGATCTTGCTATTTTGACCAAGTCATCTTGTCTATGCTTCTAATATATCCTTGTATTATAAGTTTCAAAACATTTCATCAAAAAATTAAATAGTTACATCTATATCAATTATGTTGCACATTTCTGGTATTGCACGTGCGCGCTCTTGCAAGCACACGTGCATGCACATTCTTTCATGATAATTCTTTTATATCAGGCTGTAGATCTCCTTAATGTATGACTATATTAAAAATTTCAAAGGATTTTATCAAAAAACAAGAAAGATATTGAGACTTTAGTTTCAGCCAATCAGAGCGAAGCGCACGTGCATGCGCGTCAGATCTTGCTGTTTTGACCAAGTCTTCTTGTCTATGCTACTAATATATCCTTATATTATGAGTTTTAAAACATTTCATCTAAAATTCAAAAAATTACGGCAATATTTATTATATTGGTCATTTCACTTGTTGCACGTGCACGCTCTGGCAAGCACGTGCGCGCAAAATGACCTTTGTTCCGCAAATCTACATAACATGCCTACTGACCCTAAAAAGGTTTCACCTTAGTCGGATGTGTAGTTTACAAGATCATTCGCGGAAAAGATTTTCCCAGGAAGAAGAAAAATAACTAGTTTTAATTGTAACGGGGACCGTTACAGATGTTCCCCAAACGCTCCCCAACTCCCTTTTTGTGCCATTTTCCTGTAAGACTTTTTAAAAAATATGCTCAGTATCAAAGGATTTCATCAAAGAGTTATAAAAATTACAATGATATGAATTATATTTCATTTAACGTATTGCACGCGCTCGCATTTGCATGCACATGCAGGATGATCATGGCATGTTGTTTAAACAATTAACATATCTTTATATCATGAGAATCAACAAAAAATATCATTAAAATATAAATGTTATTGTTTTTCGAACATATTGGTGATTTTACGTATTGCGCGTGCGCACGTGCATGCATGCATGTCCTTGCATTCAAATTTGATAGTAACATAATGTAGGTATCCATGATACCTATTCATATTCTGAATTTCATCCCGTTTCGTTGAGAACTTAGAAAGTTATAGACATTTAAAGCTTTAACCAATCAGATTGCAGCACACATGCATGCGCGTGCTTTAATGATGATTCTTATTTATCATACGGTAGATCTTCATAATGAATGGCCATGTTCAAAATTTCAAAGGATTTGTCAAAAAACAAGAAAGATATTGATACTTTAGTTTCAGCCAATCAGAGCGAGGCGCACGTGCATGCGCGTGACATCTTGCTATTTTGATCATGTCATCTTGTCTACGCTACTAATATATCCTTATATTACAAATTTCAAAAGAGTTCATCAAAAAATAGAGTTACGGCTATATCCATTAAATTGGTTATTTCACGTGTTGCACGTCCGCGCTCTTGCAAGCACGTGCGCGCAAAATGACATGTTGACAATGTCATCTTATCTACATTTATAATATGTCTATATATTCTAAATATCAAAGCATTACATCGAGAAATGTAAAAGTTATGGCAATTTCAAGTATATTGGTCATTTCACATGTTGCACGTGCGCACTCTTGCAATCACGTGCGCGCAAAATGACCTTCGTTCCGATTATCTACATAACATGCCTACTTACCCTAAAAAAGTTTCCCCTTAATCGGATGTGTACTTTACAAGATCATTCGCGGACAAAATTTTCCCAAGAAGAAAAATAATAATAATAAGAAACAGAGTAAAAACAATATGTTCCCCAACTTCGTTTGGGGAACATAATAATAATAATAATATAATAAGAAACAGAGTAAAAACAATATGTTCCCCAACTTCGTTTGGGGAACATAACTAGGACCTAAAAATCATACCTTTTCTGTATGCAACTTTACACTTGTGGTATTTAGAACCCTTTCCTTTGAACTTTACTAGTTATTGTTTGTACAGGGTGTTTCATGTAACATTTTGAATGCACAAATTAACAAACACACACAAAAAAGGTACAGACAAGTGTGGGGGTTTTCCCATGTACAATGACTGACCTTTTTCCACTCTTTCTTTGTCTTTCCTCTTGTCCTCCCTCTTTTTCTTTGGGGACTTTGAGGAGATGAGTCCCGAGACGTCGGAGCTGTTCACGCTGTCTTCCTCCCTACGCCCAGCCGACTTCCTCTTGCTCTCAGAATAACCAAACGCTGGAGGGGGGCCCGCAAAAAAGTCCGAGAAGGAACAGTCCTTCAGGCCCTTCTTCTTTATGGCTGACTCCTGAAAAGGTCAAGGTTTTTTTTAGAATTTTTTTTTAAAATTGTTTCTTACATGACAGTCCAATGCGACCTTGACTGTTGTCTGTATCCCAGATTAACATAATTAGCAATCAGAAGCATTTTTTGTCTTTCATACAATCTTTTATTTACACTGATTTAGGGATACGTTGGCAAATAAATATAATCACGATGGTTTAAATTTTGCTATGCTCACGATTTATCATTTTTCCACAAAATTAAAACCATCATGAATGGTATTATTAGTTTTTAAAAACGTTTATATGCTTATAAAAACGAAATTTTGAATTAATGTCTTGCAGCTTTGACTTAGTACCATTTCAATTGGTACTTTTTTAGATATCGGGAAATTTTAACATCATGGAACTAAAACTACTTACAGAATATAAATATACAAGTATTGTACTTTTTTCTTTTCTATGCTTTTAAAACAAAATGATGCTTACAGTTACTAATAACTCCACTGCGAATAGTTATCTTACAAAAGAATACAATTTGGCAAAATCTTATTAAAATCACATCTTTGGTCAACTCCTGTTAGATTTCTGTGTAGCCATCTAGCAAGAGTGGATCAAAGACCTAATTTCAATTAGACTGCAATTTTGCATTGTAAAGATTAATTAGAAATATGTTCCCAGACTTTAAATCTCTCACCTTTACTCTCCATATTCCCAGCACTGACTCACAGAACTGTTTTAAGTACAGCTTACTTTTGTCTCTTGTGTATACTCCTTTTTTACGACTACAAAGTTCAAAAAGAAATGATGAAGAAAATATTGTAGTATATCAGTACTTTCCATCAAAAAAGTTTAACAAATAATATCTGAGAGTTTCTTAACTATTTCCAAACTTCACTGCAAAAAGAACATTTAAAACTTAGAAAATACTTGATGACAGACATGACTTAAAATTCCCATGCATTTTTCTTTTTGTCTGATTTACACTACATACCTAACATGTTTAGCTGGTACGGTTATAGTTATGTTGGTTTTTCCTTTCTCTTGCACCACATACTTATACTGATCAGCCTTCAGAGTCACCGCTTTTGACTTGGCACTAAAAAATAAAATAGTCAAGGAAATTTAATTAAAGGAAATTGGTATAAAGAAAATACAGCTAATGCAATAACAAATGAAATATTCAAATCCAGCATTCTAATCCATTTAGTATTTGTTCTGACTGAGTTCATCATTTTTAATGCTTAGCTTTATATTTTGGGAGATGGATCAATTAATATGAAATCTAAATAATGTTTAACCTTGCTTCTTCTTCATCCGAGTCGATAATAATGCATCCATTGACTTCTGGTACCGAGGCTGCAGGGGGAACCACTCTCAGCACCTTGCAGGTCTTCCTGTAACAAAAAAATTAATTTTTTTTTTTGAAATGACATTAAACCAAGTCAGTGACATTCATCATTTTCTTACCTCTTGAATAAATTTTGTGAAAAGACATTTAATTGAATATGTGTGCCTTGCTTTACGATACAGTACATCTAGTTACTTGTTTGACAACTATTCATGAATACTGTGCAAGGTGAACAAGAAATGCAGTTGAAACGGCTAAACATGTAGTATACTTATATATCATATGAATACCATGTAAAAAAAAAAAAAATCATATATATGATAAATTGTAAATATAGGCATTGAAAGTGTTTCTGACATAAATTTTGTTATTTAATGATGATAATGAAGATCAATATTGGATACCTTCAACATTTTTTGCTGATTTTCATGAGAATGACATTTTACTTTCATTTTCACACAGACCTTAACACACACTTTACCTTTCATTGCCTAGCATCACTTCCACCATCTCGTCAATGAAGTATCGGTCTTTCGTGAAGACAAAGATGTCATCGTTCATGTCATTCAGGCGACTTCTGTGGGTCAGGCTGGCCAGGAAGAGAATTGGCCTCTGAAGGTAACTGGGGAAAGTGGCCAAATTCTTGAGAGCTTTCTCTTCGCATTCCAATGCTTCTTGATATGTGAAGCCAGCTCTCCCAGTGATGGAGCAAGACCATACTAGACTGTTACATAAAATTACTCTCTCGAAAAAGTCTCTGAAAATGTGAAAACGAATACATTACTTATGTATTAATGTAAAATGGCGGACTATAAAATAGACAGACGTGAACCGCGACAGCAGACGAACGTGTTTTTACACATTGTGTAATCAAGAAGAATATCTATAATGCACGTGGGTAGGACAAGAAAACACTTACTCATAATCGCGGAATATCTCATTTGTTAATTTACAGTGAAACACTTCTTCGTCTGGGTTTAGATCGGGTGGTGGTCTGATTCTGTGAAATGGCTGTCGCCGGAGAAGCGGCATCGTGAAATATTTGGAGGGAAACACAAAGAACTTGTCCCAATATATTCTACAAAACAGCGTTCAACAAATTAACTGATGTATTGTGATACTGATAAACAAGCACAAAAATCACATAACAACAGAATATCCGAACGGAAATACAAAATATAGCGACACGCTATCCCTTACCAGTTACAAACAATGAGGTCAAACAATCTCACGCGTGAGGTAGACTGAGATGAAAGACGATGAACACCGGTTTGGTAGTAGGGGAAAACAAATGCGAAAATAAACCATTTAGTAAGCTTTAAAGAAATATTTTACTTGATATGACGAAAGATGAAATATAATTGATTTAATAAATAGTAAAATAAAATTTATTTAGTCAACTTAACACCGAAAATTCAAGAATTTATTTTCATCGATATCTCAAAATTGTGGGAAATATCTTTAATAGGCGGGGCTTATTATGTGTCAAGAGTTTTGATTGGACCATTTTTTCAGGGGTGCGTCGATTTACCCAAATGGACCCAAATGGAAATCAAATGGACCCAAATGGAATCAAATGGACCCAAATGGAAATCAAATGGACCCAAATGGAAATCAAATGGACCCAAATGGAAATCAAATGGACCCAAATGGAAATTTAAATATAATATTTTTCATATTAAACGTTATATAAAGTGAAAAAAATAATTTATTTGACTATTCGATGGATTTAGATGTAAAATAAAATTAGTTTATCGTTCAATTTCTTATTGTAGTTTATAGATAACGTTGCCCATCTCTTGCCACGTGGTTGCCATCCCAAAGAAGAGCCATAATTTTGAATTTGAAAAATTAAAAATAAAAAATCAATTAAATTCCAAAGAAAAGCCAAAGGTTTTTTTTTTCGAAAATTAGGAAGAATGGAGAAAAAATAATGTAATTTTTAGTTTATGTTCTTTGATGAATGAGGAAAAAAAAATTAAATTCGATTATTAAACTGAAATTAAATACATAAATAATAATTTTTACAAATACACAAAGAAGAACTATATGGAAACTAAAAAGAACAAAATACATATACAAACAACAGCAAATCTAGTTAACATGCATATCCGCTTAAAAATGGTACATTTAATTTGGTGAAAGGCGTTTTATAAAAGCTAAAAACAAAAGGCACAACAAATATACAATTATATATATCTAACTTTCATATTATGCCAACACACGTAATATTTACAGCAACATCGTATTGTATACGTGTACACGTTCGCAAAACATGATATATACATCACACATCTTATAAATTATCTAACTTTCATGGATTACTGATATAAAGAAAAAACTACGCTTAACTTTACAATATGCAGTAAATATTTTTTGTAATGTAAGATAATTTAATTAACAAAATGCGAAGAGTTGTGTAATTTGAACTACTACCTTCCTTTGTTTATTAGGAGTACACAAATTATGTGACGCGTGTCAAATAATCGGTTGTTTTGATAACAATACCGTCATTACCCTACTATAGAACAGTATCAACTATAAGGAGGTCTAATTAATACTGGTAAATAATTATATCTTCTAAAAAATTACACATTTAGATTAAGACTATTGTAATATTGTGTATATAATTAAAGTGATTATAGTACTGGATTTATAAACAAAAATCTAATTGATGCCTTTTTTTTTTATTAATCTATATTGCATGTATAAAAATAATTTAATTTTAAAATACCTTGTTTGTACGATCTATTTAATTTTTCTTTTTAAATGAATGCAACAGTATGCTTATCAATGTCTATATACGTAGCCGGAGTAAAGTAAAATAATAAATTATTTCTTATCTAATATAAAAGGAAATATGTTTTGATTTACTTAATTAAATCAGTGCTTTTTTAATATCTTATAGGGAAAAAATTATTTAATGTAGAAAAAAAATTACCGTACATAGAATCCAAATTCTCCTTGAAGAAAAATTCAGGTAGGAAGAATTTTCCCCAAAAGCGTGTTTTTAAAATGTAAATGTCTCATAATTATCTTCTCAGAGATATAAATTAATCCCATTGGTTATTGCTAAGTACTCCAAATTATAGTACAAATTCATCGATCCTATTGGATAATTACCCATTAATAATTGAAATCAATGATATATTCCCCCTTAAAAAATAATATGATCACATGCTAATATATTTATTCGTAAGAAAAAAAGATAAAGTACTTTGACACATAATAATAAAATAATGTATAAAGTATTTAATTAATTTTCAAAAACATACATGAACACATATAATACTTAAATAATCAAAAGATTAATTAATTAACAAGTAAAAGTTAATAAAACCACAGTAAAACATATTAAAAATTCCATTTGATTTCCATTTGGGTCCATTTGATTTCCATTTGGGTCCATTTGATTTCCATTTGGGTTCATTTGATTTCCATTTGGGTTCCATTTGGGTCCATTTGGGTAAATCGACATACCGTTTTTTCAGAAGATTGACATTCATTCAAATGACTATAGCAAATAAACCTCCAACCATAAAAGAACATGGAAAGGGAAATAATTTCATAAAATGAATGTTTAAAAATTTTGAAATATTACTTTATGTACTAGAATTTTAAAATAGTCACGTTTTTCATTTTTTAAATTCCATATTTCATTAAAATAATAATTTTATTTAATTTGTTAATTGTTAAAAAAATTGTCAAAAAAAGAAGAAAGAAAGGGAAATAGTTTAATCAAATGAATGTTTAAATTTTTTTAAATTTATTACTTCATGTACTAGAATTTTAAAATAGTACCGTTTCTTTTTTTTTAATTTCATATTTCCTTAAAATAATTTTTTTTAAAGTTGTTATTCCAATAAAAACGTCAAAATATTTTTTAAACTTGTTATTTCAATAAGTATTGCTTATTTATTACCATTATATCATTGCACTCTATTTATTACTTGTTTTCCCCTGATTTACTTCTAATTAATAAAAATAACAGTGCATCACATAAGACATATTTTTGCCTTCTGGGTCAATAGTATACTTGAAGAATATACACATTATAAGTAATAATAATAGAAAAGCATGTAATACGTAGTAAATACAGTACTTGGTCATAAGTGAATCATAATTTTATTTTTCCACTATATATTTCATTGAAAAACACATTTTTCTAAAATATCATTGCAGTGTCATTTGTTGTTTCTTTTTAATGTCTAAAACACCATAAAATTCAGAATTTGTCAGAATAGTTTCTTCACATTATTTCAAAATAGTTTTATCTTTATGCATTACCGTGAAATCACGGGTCAAGTGCAAAACAAAAATTTTAAGACTTCAATTTGTTAAGAAATCATTGTAATTTGAGGTAAGAAAATTTTGTCTTGACAATATTTTATAATTTTTTTCTCAATAGTTTAAATATCATTTTGTTTATCATTTAAGAAAAGAAAATTTGAATAATTCTGCATATTTCAGTGAAAAGATCATGAAAATTGAGCTAAAATTGACTTCACAACAAGTTTTAATAAAAATAAGTTTTTCAATGAAATATATAGTGTAAAAATAAAACTATGACTCACTTATGGCCAGGTACTGTAAATAAATTTAATTTAAGAACTCGATCTCTCTTGATCCTTTCTCTCAGCTCTCTCTGAGATTTGTATCACATTTGCATTAATACTATATATACGTGTATATATGTAATAAGCCTCCCCACTATTCGAACAAAATACTTTTTATATTCATTTTAATTTTTTTTTAAATTAATAACCTCTTCGATCGATCATAACATGTTAAATATAGTAACGTACATGCACATCTAAATATCATTGGAAGAAGAATAGTTAGAACTAGAGCCGAGCTCGTTGCAAAGCAACGAATAGGTCTTCCGTTGGAGCTACGGATAAGAAGACGTAACCTTGAGTCTAGGTCAAGCCACATTCTAAAGTTCTACAAGTGAAAATTTAAACCTTTTAAGAGAAGCAACTTGCAATGTTTAGCTAGGAAAAAGACTGTAAAGGAATATATGTGACCTTGAACTTTCCAAGTGACCTTGAACTCTCCAAATGACCTTGATCTAAGCAATGACTAGCTCTCGTTATAAAAATATTATCCATGTGTTACCGTCTGGAAAATTTCAAACATTTTATTTAGATATTCTTTCTGTCCATGCATCCAACCAAAAACATCTTATCCTTGGGGACTTTGAACTCGAGTCAAGGTCACGTCCCACTCTGCATTATATCAGCAATGTTTCACTAGCAGAAAAATGGTAGCGAATTTACAGTTTCACTGTCACTAACCTTGACTCGTCCAAATGACTGGATATGTTCAGCCATGAGTTTTTTTCTGACTATAATCGAGGCAAAATGATTCATTGGGTTCAACACAATGTCGAGACTATAGCTCTACTTGTTTGTACTTATAGCAAAGGAAGAGAAAACTAGCCATTGCCATCAGACCAAAACTGTAGAAGGAGTAGCGTTTTAAAGGAATTTCACATAAATTTCTATTTTTTGTAATCATGACAACACCGTTCATCGAAATCAAAAACGATGCACTTAATTATGTATCACATTGAAGTCTACTTGTGTGTCCAGTTATATTGAAATCAAACTAAAACTGTAGGAGGAGTAGCATTTTTAAGGAATTATATACAGAAATTTCTATTTTTAGTAACCATGGCAACACCGTTCATCGAAATCAAAAACGGATGCACGATATTTTGTATTTTAGTGAAGGCTACTTGTGTGCCAAGCAATATTGAATTCAGACAAAAACTGTTGAAGACGTCGCATCTCAAAGCATTCAAAAACCGATGCACTATACTATGTATCTTAGAGATGTGTACTTGTGTGCCAAGTTATATTGAAATCAGACCAAAACGGTAGGAAGAGTAGTATTTTGAAAAATTGTTTATAGACAGACAGACAGCTAGACAGACGAACGGACGGCAGACACTTTACTATCGCATCCCACAGACAGGTGGGACAGATATTTATATATCGAAAATAACCAAATTAAATAAAGACATCATTTTTAAAGCATTAAATCGTAGCAAAAAAGAAAATATCAATGGATGCGACACTTTTCAGACGAGGGAAGAGATATGAACCTCTCATAAATACGGTACACATGTATCAGATCATTGCACGTCGGCAATCTAAAATGACACATATTATTTTTTTTTCTTTGTATAACTTAACCCCCCCCCCCTAATTTCTTAAAAAATGTTTGTACAATCAAGAAAATCGGTTACTTTTCATAAAGACTACGACGTTTCTTTCATTTTCAAGAACCGTATAATAGCGAATGCAGCGAGCTCAATAGAATAACGTG